TAATGTGACTATAACTAAAATAAACTTTCTATTCTTGTTTTTTTTATTCATGACACATTTATGATCAAGATAAATTATCTGTTCTTGCAAGATAAACTTTTCACTTGTGACATGTCTATATTTAAGGATAGACTCTATTCTCATAATGAGACTTATATTCTATCAGTTAGAAAATACTTTATTCTTGTTAATTATGTGCAATAGGACTTTATTCTGTATAAAATAATAGACTTTCTATTCTTGCTATTCATTATTGTATAGGAGTGTAGTTTACCAAGCATCACAGGTTAAGAATTAATAAAGTGTATGAAAATCTGATATACATATACTTCATCCAAATTTAAAAGATAGATCTTATCATATTTTGAATATTTAATAACCTTACAAAAAATTATTCAGATTATTATTGATAATATTTTTATAAAGACTTCAAGTAGCATATTCATGATATTTTACTTAGTAAATATGTGCACGTATTTATCTATATAATTAAAAGAATTTGAAGTATATGTGTGTGTAAAATCATTGGACATAGGTAATCATATCATGAAATATATAAAAATCTGAAGAGAAAAAAATATAAGTTAATATTAATATTAGTAAATGAAGATATTCTAATATTAAATACAAAAAGAGACTTATCAAATACAGCTTGTCTTATAAATATAATACAACAAAATAATTAAAATTTGAAAACTTTTATCCCACAAATTCATTTTGTTAATATTTAAATTCAATTTATTATTTATTTAACACTTTCAAAACAATTATTTTTAAATATAATATATATTTAAATAAAATACAATAAAAAACAGATCACTATTACTTTTGCCAGAAATCATAAAAGAAAAAAAATAAGGAAATAAAAAAGTGAATATTGCATAAAAATTATTTATATATAATAATAGAAAAAAATAAAGGAAAGAAAAAAGTTAAATAAGAGAAAAGAAACTGAGGTAGGAAAGTCATCATCATATAAAAGTTCATAAAGAATGATAAAAATAGTTATTTTTTTTTTCTTGAATCTGTCACAAATTCACTATCATTACAAAATGCTACAGCTTTGATGCTAAAGCCTTCTGATTTAAGTCAATTAAGATATTGAACATGTTTGATCTATTATATCTGAAAAAAAAGAATAAAACTGAAATATATTTCTAATTAGTAAAGTTAGAGCAAAATCTCAACGTAACTCAAATATCTTAGTGTTAGATAAATGAATAAAAATAAACCCTCCAACCAGCCAAACACCTTCAACCAATCCGAACCCTTCTATTAACCTATTCCAACTCCAAGAACATAATATATCTAATCTAAGAAGAATTCTAATTTATATAATTAGAATCCTTCTCAGAAAAATGTAAAAAAAATAATTAATGATTACTATATATTAAAAATAAGAATATATATAATAAATACTTTCTTACCATATATATATAATGTGCATATGTTGTTATCTGCAATTTATCTCAATACCTCAATCCTTACCTAATTTTTATTCATCTAACTAAACCAAGATAATTTGAGTTGATGAAGTGTTATTATACCTTTACTAATAGAAATGTAAAGAAGATATGTCTAAATTATCAGATAATTTTTCATTACTATATAAAGATTCCGAATCTTTATGACGCCAACTGTAAAAAAACAGCGTATTTAACAATAATTTAGACATTAAAATGATTTAAGATGTAAAAAAAACCGATTATTAATTTGTAAACCTTAACATGTTACTTTTTTATCTTGGACAGCGTCAATTTAAAAATTAAAGATGAGCCGAGTGCAATAGAAACGGTGTAATTGTATTAGAAATTTTGATACTTTTTTTTAAACGTTATACTGTACACGCCCCACATTTCTTTTTGATATTGGATAATCAAATAGATTCAAATAACAAGCGTTATGACCAACTGAATTTTTTCATAGAATCATATATGCATCCTGCATACACAACGTAATCCCTATGTACAATGTGGTGATTCCTATCGCTATGAATTGTGATCAAGATGTAAATTTTTTGATCAACCAAATGTCATTCTATTTTGAATAAATGTCCAGCATACACACATTATTTTTTTTTAATAGAATGTAAATACCAAGACGTGATGATGACTGATAATTGACATTTTACAGCATAAGAAAATAAAATCTTTCTTCATTGCTGAATAAAATTAGAATTTTTATCTACTCCTTATTTGTTTATCTTCTCCTTATTTTTTTATATCACCAAACCATAGTTCAACTCTGCTTCTATATAGAAAGTTTACAAAGGAAATTTATTTATTTGTCAAAATTTTTGATATCATTTAAATGATAAATTTTTTTCTTTAATAAAACTTGTTTATTACACAAATTTGCTATCCATCTGAGCTTTGGACCTTTTCAGCGAAAGAAAGTCATTAGACACTTTATTTACCGATATCAAGTGTAGGCTTTAACGAGGGCACAAACAAATTTCGTATTTTAGAATTATGATAATTTTAAGAGTACCTACCGGATTCCTCGATGATAAACACTGTTGTGACAAAATTTGTGGAGACATATATTACCTCATTATGAATTATTATAGAACTGAACCCTCCCGTTGGATTTTTTAAAACATGATAAGTTTATGTATATACCTGGGACAGACTTTCCGTCTGCCCTTATTACCTCACAGGAAGCAATAAGATTTGTGGCTTGCATTTTTTTTGAATATGTCCCTCAGTTTGGATTTGGGTGCTCTATTGATACTGATGTTCTATATTATACACGTATCCAATTATTATATTTGGTGTATGGTCATTAATTAACACGGTCACTCCCATTGCTAATTAGTTAGTACAAATATTGTATTTAATGTATACTCTATGATGTTTTAAAACAAAATAATTTGGAAATGGTGTATTATCATTGATATCGATATGACTGGAAAACGAGTTTTTTTGATTGGATGATTGCGTGGTGGTTACAAAGAAATTGTGTGTAATCAGTTTCGAGTAGGGTAATGATTTGCATGCTTGAAAAGGAAAATTAAAATTGTTCCGAGATAATGTAAAAATACTACGTTATTGTTTTGAATAATTAAACCTTTTACCGATCATCTTAAAAAACCGTTCTTGACGGTCAAAATTACCTTCTAAAACAAATATGATACAGTCCCCAATGACGCATTCGTATTTTTTGTTTTTTTTTACACAACTGTAAACAACAAAGACGCCAAATACTCGTTTTAATTTCGATAAATTGATAGCAAGCAAGCATTTATTTTAAATGTTCGCATTTCTACATATATATTATATATATTGAAATCATCAAAAAAAATATGACCAATTTAATGACACAAGAGTTAGTTGTATAGTCTTCCCCTATATGATCACGCCCTTGGGAATAGCAAAAAGCGTGATTTTAAAGAGGTTGTGAATCTATAGAGTCAAACTTTATAATATCTGGGACTGGGAAAAGGATGCGATCGCAGAGGATGTGACTGTTTAAAGACTGTGAAACGACGAGAAAAAATTTAAAAAAAGTACGTGTGTGCACCCCGCATATATCATGAGTTTAAACAAACAAATAATCACTGGGTTCCACACACACAATGGAAATTGATGATTGCTAAAATTAGAATGCTTTTATCATTGTCCCATTTGTGTTTTTGTATCACCAGGTCAATGTGTCATACTGCTCTTCTGTCAACACTTGATAGAATTGATCAATGCTCTTTGACAAAATTTGAACTTGTTTAATAAATAAGTTTTAATCATGCATCACATTTTACCTATGTACACTCGGTGGATTGGTTACTCGTCTACGCGCATAAGAAGAAAAATTAATCTACTTAGAATTAATGATAATTAAAAATACTAATTTAATAAACCTTGAGTTTTAAGAGTATAGATCGGTATATAAAAAATTATATATCTATAGTGGCCATTTAGGATTTTTTAATTTTTATTGGAACCCCTTTTTCTTGGTTTTTTATTTATAAATGGGATGGGGCAAGTCAGTAAAAAATCGAACAAATCAAATTTTTCAAGTTTTTAAAAAAAATTTTTTTTACATATTAATCATATAAAATGCGGAAGATAAATACTAATTATCGCAAAATCAAGATTTTACTTGGTTTTTACTGACAATGAAGTTTTTGTCAATTGAAATATAGAAAGAATTTAGGCGAGGAACGTAACGACTTTCCCCAAATAGTTAGACATGAAATTATAGGGTCGTCTCCCGCTATAATCACATGGTCTATGCGCAGTTTTTGTCAATCGATTCGAGTCCAAATATAGAAGAATTTAGGCGAATCGTTGTCCTCTTTAGTGGGGAGGAACGTAACGACTTTCCCCAAATAGTTAAACATGAAATTGTAGGGCCGTCTCTTGCTATAATCACATGGTTTATGCGCCCATTGAGAAGGATTGTGACGAAAATTTATTTATAATGTATACAATCAGGCAGAAAATTAATATGATTATAGACAATTACGATGGTGTAAGCTTTAAAACAATATAATTTTATAATTTTTTATTACGCGAGTCTTCAAGCAAACTGGTGCCCGGTGACTCGAGTGTAGATGTTGTTTACCAAATCGGGAATCTTGATCTGATTTTGATAATTTCATATCTTTCCCTGTGGCTTTCTTTCTTTGCCTTGTGATCTCTTTCTTTATCCATTATACAAAAAAGCACCGTTTCTTGATTTAAAATAATTATAAGAACCTGCTATTTATATAAAAGAAATGACAATTTAATCTATAATGCAAGAATATATATTATTAATATAAATAAATAAAAATTAGATATAAAAGCACTTTGAATTCGTAGCGAAAAAAGCAAAAAGCAAAAAACAAAAAAAAATCAGAAAATTTTTAAAAAGCAAAGAACAAAAAAAAATAGAAAAGCAAAAAACTTATTAATAGAAACTATAGATATCTCTCAAAATATAAATACGTTTCAATTACTAATTTTATCTGACAATCGGTCACTAACAAATCGGCGTCTTAAACATCATATATTAAAAAAATGAACACAAATACAAACCATTTGCTACGCTATCTTTATTCATTCGATGAAGATGTTAGTCGACTTAATGGATTGTATCAAACGGTACAACAAAATAATGACCCTTGGTCTAACTTCATTAGAGGGTTCGACTTTCCTGTTGAAGAAAATGGTTTGCTTGACTTAGATCGCAGCTTTAATTTCGAAATCTCAATAATAGAACCTGAGTCAGTTGAATCCACTAATAATGAGATGCCACAGGCTGACCAAGAGAATTTCTTCTCCATCGATAATCATGATAACCCGCTACGCAATCTTTATTTGGTCGATGAGGTCAATACACAATTGGATCATATGGAGCAACAAAATAATGATATTTGGTCCGATTTCATCGGAGGATCCGATCTTCCTATACCAAACGAAGAAAATACATGGCTCGATTTAGAGCGCAGCTTTGGTCCTTAATTCCAATATCCCAATAATAGAAACGAGCATAATGCGTTTATTGAAACACCATGTTTTGAGCTAAGAATAAAATAAGTTTTCGGATAATTTAAGGTTTTTTGCTCTTCTTCAATTTAAGGTTCTTTACACAATTTCCTCATTTATGTTTGTATTTATTTTATTCAATTGTTCTATAAATATCATTCTGTTTCTGTCACTCATTGGTAAAGTGAGTTCGTTCTATTTCTCCTAAATGTGTTCTGTTTCCCTTAGATTTGTTTTTGTCATTTAT